AGAATTCAGCAACTTCATCAGCTGCTTGGGTTGGTGAAGTAGGGGGAGCTTATAACAGTGGACAAAATCTTGTCAACAATTCATTTGTTTATAGTTTCTAGTATGCTTGACTTGACCTTGGAAACATTTTTTATGTTAATTGACTGGTAAAAGCTTAATTTGACATGAAATTCTTTATTGGGTTTTACTAGTTAAACAGGTATTGAACCAACTTAGGATGGCATCATCTTACTTTGAGAAGTTGTTTATTTACTTTGAGCACCATGTTTGCAAACATTCAATCATAGATATTAATGTTACTTTTTTTTTGGTATAATGATGTTAGTTCATGACTTATTTTAAATTTGTGGATTGAAAAATAATTTGGTCGTTGTTTTATTTTGAATGTTATTAAATATTTTTCTTTTTTGTGTATTTTTACTTTATATGAAACCATATTATATTATGATTATAAATAAATTAATATTAATAATTAATAATATAATTTTTAAAAAAAGTTTTACCAATGTCTTAAAATTTATATTCACGCGTTTTACTATTGAAATATTTCAGGCTATATTGACAGTCATCATAGATCGTCGGTAAAAGTTAAAATGCATAAGGCTATACTGACAGGCATTAACTGTTGGTAAAAAAAATACTGATGGAGATATTGTAGGTGTAAGTTGAAAAAATTAGAACATATGACTCTATACTAAGGGGAATAGCCATCGTTAAAAGGTATAATATGAAACACATAATAGTTATTATACCAACAACTATACATATAGTGATAGATTAAAACTGTTAGTATATCTCTATTACATATTTTGACAGCTTAAAAACTATCAGTATAAGTTTATACCGACAAAAAATATACTGACGGTTATAAATTTATTAGAATAGATATTTTACCCGTCAGTAAAAGATTTATTATGTTATACCGATGAATTTTTAAGTTTTATTAACAGTTTTTTAAGCATCAGCATAAAACATTTTTCTTGTAGTGAAAGAATTAAATCTTAATAATTTAAATGTCAAATCTAAAAAATTTGAACACAAAATGATATATTCAAACACGAAATTATCTGAATTTCAAATAATTTGATAATTTTTTTATTTAAAATGATCCAATTTATAGTTACTTGACTCAAATCCAATATAACTCGTGCAATTAGATCTTTTGAAGGTACGAAGAACTTTGTATGATATATGAGTTTCATACACCCAAATAAAGGAAATTTGTATGATATATAGGTTTCATACGTACATCCCTCAATATTTAAGTAGATGCTCGGATGGCTACCATGATATTTCAACTAATGGTATAATGGCCAAAAACATTGATGCAATGGGGACAATAGATGCAGTGAAATATAGAAAGAGGGGCAGTGGATTGGGAAGCTGGGCTACAGTGAAAGGCTAGACAAGTAGGACGCATAGTCCACGTAGGACGGTGATGGGTCGGCCGTGGTCTTCAATCATGCGGCGGACCGCATCATTGAACTCATTAGACCACTCCTTGCGGACCCCACACCCACCATAAAAGCTGGGGCGGTGAACCCCAGACAAACCCCTTCTCTCTCTTCTACCTCTCGCAGTTTAACAATAACAAACGTGGAGATAAAGAGTTAGCGTAACCAGCAAAAGGAGATCGTTTGGGGGTCCTATTGGGATCTTAAATTCCCCTTTTTGACATCGACCACCCTCCAAACTCCTCTCCTTTTCTCTTTCTCTATCCAAGAACAAAACCTTACCTTACCCTTCCAAGTTTTTGTTTGTTACAAGATTTTTTTTTTCTTTTAAAGCTTCGTCTTGGCAGTTGGTCAAGGAAAAATCACCCTTTTCCTATAGTTTTCTATTCAACAGAAAAGAAAAAAAATCAATGGTTTTAACCAAACTCTTGAACTACACTCATAACACAACACAGTTCCTTTTCTACTCTTTATTCTAAGGTGTGAAACACAAGCTTTGTTTCAAGGGACATCAATCATGATTGCACTCCATGTAGGCATTAATTCTAACATTTGTATTGACAATGAAATAAAATACACTACTTTTTCTAGCCTCTATATATAAATGCTTTTTTCACTAAGGAGACTTTGATTGAAAATCAAAATTTTTAGAACCATTTGGTAGAAATTGGCAAATATAAAATTTTCCCTAACTTTTCTAGACTTTTGGGATTAATAGAATAAGGTTTTATCTTTTTAATTTGTCAGTAGTATGTCATTCCATGAGATGATGATTGACCATTATGTGAATTAGAGTGGATATCCTGTGGCTAATTTATACATTTGTTATCATATTTTGAAAAAGCTAGTGACTGATCGAAAACTGCACCCAAACAAGCACTTTCTCTCTCAAATATTGGTTTGCATATTGTAGTAACCAGGGTTTCTGATAATAGAATCATTGTGAGAGAAAGATCTGGTGAAAGAGGAGTCGTAGTATTGAAGCTTGAACTTTCTATCCATCTAGGTGTGTCACTGAAGAAGAAATGAAAGAATAACATGGAACAAAAGAAAAAGGGAAATATATATATATAAAGCAATAACAGGCTCAGATTTTCATCAATGATGTCTGTTTTAAGTTTCAAGAAAACTGCAATCCTACAGCTAGGCTTTAGGACAATGGAACGTGCTGACGTGAAACAAGAAGTCAAGAAACCCATGAGGGTTACTCCAATCATCCTGGACATTTTTTTTTTATACTTTCAGAAATAAAATCCAATATTCTATCAACACGGAACTGTTTGGCATCCATTTCGAATAATCTCAGAGGAACATGTTTTTACCTTTTATTATGTGTCAGATGTTCATTAGTTGGCCGCCTGTAATGTCTTTCCAGATGGAGAGCAGGGGATTACAATTTACAAAGGGATGATTTGGATGGATAGGCCAGTAATTAGGCAACATTTCTCAATAGGGGAACTCTCAAATATGAGGAGGAGATGGGCCATTGATAGGGAAAGAATGGGGGAGAAATAGATGCCATGATGGCCACAGGTGAGCTGAGGGGGTCCTGGAAGAGGTGGTGGTTTACAATGGGATTTGGGCTCCTCTCCTCCTATACATTCTCTGCCTCGTGGTTCATGATCAGAGCTTTCTGGGGTTGGAAGTGGGGGGTCCAACTCACATCGATTATAACGCGTATGAATTGACTTGTTAGATCTCTCTGTTAGCATATGTGTTGCACACACAAACTGATCTTTGGTTTCTGGATACTACATTTTGGCCTTGATTACATACCCTTTTTTTTTTTTTTGTCAAAAAGGTGAGATTCTTTTTGCCTACCTTTTTCCTTCTTTATTCCATGTTAATAAGCTTTTGATAACAACCCATACATAAAAAAACATATGGTTTTATATATATCACCATTTGCAAGTTGTTAATTATTTAAATCTCATTTAAGTACTTTTAATAACTTAATCCTTCGGCAACTAAAAGTTTTACGTATAAAATTATCATAATTGGCTCATTCTTTCTATATTTATTTAAAATATACTTTATATATACATATATATATATTTATAAAAGATGTCATGATCAGAAGATAAAAAAAAATTATATATATTGATATATGAATCTCAAATTTATTAAATATTATTTTTTAAAAAGTGATTACATATATTAAGTTAAACTCTGAATTCATATACTCATTATATTTTGCTACCATTTTATTTGTTTAATTACTCAAGATTTTTTAAAACGTCAGCAAAAGTGAAAGATTACTGTCACATTTTATTAAAATGTTTTGATCATCATGTTCATTAATAGGTTTTCTTTAGCTATTTGCTAGTTCTAAAATTAATGGAGCCATCATGAAATTGAAAGCAAAGGCAATATAAACAATATATCATGGCCATGGTGATGTGATCAAGATATTGTGATGGCATCTCATGAAAATTTTCATTTGTATGATCTTCCATACCTCCACTATAAGAGTAGGCTCATTTCAAATGCTGTAAGAACAAAATGGATTCATCAGAAAAGTTTGTGGATATACAGCACAATAAAATGATTACACTTGGATGGTTTGTCCACATTACTCCCTATAATTATTTCACCATTGATGCAATTCTTTGGGGTTTCTTTTTGCATACTTACTCCTGGCCACCAAGGCCCCAGAACTCTCTACTTGGCTTGGGAAAATACATGATGTAGCCAAGTGAACGTGTGGCTCCTCCATGGCTTGTGCTCGAAAACGATTTACATTTTCTCTCATAGTAATTAAGTTGAGATTAATCATCCCCAAGTTCATTATTACATTTGCTCAATAAGTACAATGGATGAAAATGAGTTTTAAAAGTGAATAAATGCTCAAATTAGGATTTTTTTTTTATTTCTCAATTTAAACTGAGCATTTAATCGTTAAAAGTTGAATTTGTTGGGCTCTTTTAAATAGTGAAATTATCGACCACATTTTTGTGATGTAGTAGGTTTACTGAATACAATGATGAAAGTTAATAGAATGATGTAAAAAAAAAAAAAAAAAACTTCTTTTTTCTCCAAAACTTAATCACGATGCATTAGATGCTAAGCATTCGTGCACATTTGACTCTAATCCAACAAAATTTCAAAGGTTGTTGGTTGAGACAAAGTAAAGTTTCCTTCTCTTTCATCACTTGCATATCACGCATTATTAAATTGCATTGCATCAATTTTCCTCGTGCATTCTTTTATTTACATTTTTATTATGTAAAGGGATATATTAAAGACTGAAACTTAATTTTATTGATTTATACAATTATTTTTAAAATATGATATTCAATAAAAAAAAAACATTTTGATTCGGACTCAATAGGATTAGATGTCCATACGACTAAGCCATACCCAATGATAACGGAGCACACTGGTTTTTTTTCTCTTTTTCATTAAGGGCCCAGCTCAAGATTTAGTCTGTAATTGGATTCTATGCCCTATTTTCCTCTATTCCTCAAAGAGCCCAACTTAGGCTTTTCAGCTCTATTCAGATTATGTCCCACTTTTTCTCTGTTCAACTAAAGGCCCAATCGCCCAATCAACTTTCACACCCTCACCGCCTCATCGTTGACACGTTACAAGCTCCAGCCGGCTTTAGACGGCGAATACAACGCTCTTTTGGTTTGATGCCGAAATATGAAAAAATGTTTGGAATTTCGATCGAAGTTTTTGATTTGCAGTCAATGAATACCATCAAAACAGGTCTTATTTGGCTTCTAAGAGTGGCATGGATAGCCGGAACTCTTCCTATCCTCATCGCTTCATTCCCTTCTTCACGTCTCAATTCATTTCATGCCCTTTTACAAGGATTTGCCAAGAGGGGCAAGATTATGCCATCTTCATCCCATGTAAGAACCAACTTTTTTTTTAATAGAAATTCCCATCAAATTTCATTCTTCAAACTATTTATTTTCTCTCTTGGTTTTTGCGCTAGTGTAGAAGTTCACAGTTCCGCAGAGTTTCTTTCTACATTTTTATTTGTTGGCCGTAGCCTGGACAACGATGTTGTTAATGGGTACTTGGTACTTTGCATACAAAGTTGCACCTTTGAGTTCTGAGTCATTGAGTTATTCTGCAGCTGCTAGTCACTTGACAGGAGGGTCACATGTCTTTTCCTCGCACAAATATCGTTTTACCTCAGCTGAAGACAGATTCAATGTTTGGAAGTCTGTGTTCTTGCTGTTGTTGATGGAAGTTCATGTCCTTAGGCGTCTATACGAGACCTTTCATGTTTTTAACTACAGCTCTTCTGCTCGAATGCACATTTTTGGATACTTGACTGGCGTCTAGTGAGTTTCTGAAACTCCTTTGATAAATTCATTTTCCGTATGAATTGCCCTTTTCGAATTATCTGACTCTTTGTTGATTAAGCTTGTGAAAATGAGTGTTCTTATAAAAAATCAGTACAATTGACAATGTAGAAACTGGGAAGGCTTATATTAAGAAATAGATGTTAGTACATAACGTGATTCTGTTATTGATCTAAATTTATTGTATGATATTTTGGATGGTATATTTGGAAGATTGACCATAAGTGTGTGACCTTTTTTGCTGTGTATGGTGCGTTAATGCATAAGCATCATTAGAATTTTGTAACCTTGGTATTATTTTCAAGGCCTCTCTAATTGCTGCAGTTAAAAAACTTAAATTTCCTTGTAAACCTGGTTACAATTTAGATTGTATTTAGTTCTGATTGTGTGATGATTGCATTGGCAGTTTTTATATAGCAGCACCTCTGTCACTCTGCGCATCTTGTGTACTAGAAGTTGTTAATTTTTTAGCTGATCAAATAGCAGACTTTAATGTTGAAGGCCAAGAAATGCTGTCAACTACAGATTTTGATTTGTGGAGATATGTGAAGCCTATGACAAGGCTTGGATGGTGCCAATGGGCTGGTGCTGCTATATTTGCTTGGGGATGGCTCCATCAATACTGTTGTCATGCAATTCTTGTAGGTGTTTTCTCCTGTGTAAATCAATTGCCTGGCCTCTCTCGAACTGAAAGGTCCAGAACTTTTGAAAATTCAAAACTTTACTATCTATATGCATCATTTTGTCCTGATTTTGGAGTATTAAATGAATTCAATGTGGGAGAACTGATATTGATGGTTCGTTTTAAAATTCAAAATTTAGGTTAGTTCCTTGGGATTTTGCTGTTCTCAACAAGATTGTGAAATAAAAGCTATATATGTTAAGGTTTGAGCAAGATGGGTTGAACACAATGGTTCAATTTTTTTCTTTTAAACTTTTTTGAAATGAAACAAAATGATCTACGGCTTGTAACTTGTCCACATGCTGATTCTCTGGCTTTTAATCAGGGTTCACTTAGAGAACACAGAGATCAAACTGTTGAATATGTGATTCCACATGGTGATTGGTTTGAAATTGTCTCAAGTCCACACTATTTAGCTGAGATGGTGATTCTCTTTCTCAGTCTGTCTTGCAAATGCTTGCTAATATGCCCTAATTGCTGTCAAAGTCATGAACCTTACTTTCTTTCTTCTGTACAGATAATATATGCTGGCCTATTGGTTGCAAGTGGAGGAGCTGACTTCACTATATGGCTACTTTTAGTATTTGTGGTATTTTCTACACCCCTGTCCACTTTCCTGAACCATGCGGATTATTAGATGCATTTCCCCTCATAAATTTGTTCACTCTAGCTCAACACTGTGTAAGTAATTTTTGGTCACCGTTTCAGGTGGCTAATCTTGCATTTGCTGCAGCAGAAACCCACCGGTGGTACCTCCAGAAGTTCGAGGACTATCCACTTAACCGATGGGCCATTTTTCCATTTGTGTATTAGTTCCAAGAGAATGTTTTGAAGTTTGTTTTATAAATTAGTTAGCTCTTATTGTCTGCAATTTCTTTTTATTTGATAATAACTTGGTTACTGAAATGTACAGATGACTATGATTTTCTAATAACTAGAAAAAAGATTCTATAAGCTTCCCAACCCGAAGGAAAAAGAAGCGTTGTTGAACATTATCATCGAGCTTTTTGTCATTTATGTAAAAGCATGGATCAAACCAAACAGCTTTGAAGTCTCTCACTTATATTCCTTCAATTCTCATGATTCTTTGTTAGATTAATGTTTGTTAATAAGGTTGTAAACAAGTACATCAATACTACTTTATATAGGATCCCTTGAGAACCAATGACACGTGTAATTTTTTTTTTTTTAAGGTTTTGCTATGGAAGTTTCGCGGTGATTTTTATGTTTAAAGAACAAAAACGTGGCCAATAAACGCGTGTATTAAACCAGTTTCTTTTCTATTGCTAGGTGTAATAGATTTGCGTTTATTGAAGTTTCTTTTGGGTTTTGTTTTATTCAGGATTAATGCTGGTTTAAAATAGTCGAATGCTGCTCCAAAACGGTTTTTTTTTTTTTTGTCTTTTGTTTTTGGTTTTCTTTTTTTTTAATATGCATTTTTTGGTCAATTTTTTGGGTTGTTTTTTCTTTAATTGAATGTGGGATTTTTGTTTTGGAGGATTTTGATGCTACAGACTTCAATTTCATTTGATGGTAATGAATTGTTAAATGAGGTTTAGGTTTTTTTAATTTTTTGTTTTAGTTTTTTTGTTCTTGAAAGTTTTTTTTAATGTAGTAGCAAACAAAGCCCAAAAGAAATTTCGAAAATAGAAGAGAACTGTTGTAAGGTTTGCATGTTGGTGTTATTTCGATTTAAGGGTTATCTTGATTTAGGTGTTGCATGTGTGCTTTGTTGTAAGATTTGCATGTTGATTTTTTTTTAAAATATTTGTCTAAGATATTTGTTGCATGTTGCATGGATGATAGTATGTTGGATAATTTTGTAAATTGATTTGTGTTTTTTTTTAATTATAATTTTTTTTTTGTGCAGGTGTTGTTGAATATTATTTTGGATTTAGTTACAGGTTAGTGGGTGTTTTGTTTTTATGATTATTTTTGTGTATGTTTAAGTTGAGTGAAATTTTGTTTTGTTGTATGATTTTGATATGTTTTGATTTGTTTTCATTTAAAACCAATGTCAAAAAATTTCAAAAATTAGGATATTCTTTATAATTGTAAAACCATTTGCCTTATTACTCATTAAATCACTTTTGCCTAAGCATCAGCTTTTTTTTTTAATTTCTTTTTTTTTTTAATAGCAGCTTGACATTTTGTAACTTTTCTGATTTGTGCTTGGTTTTGGTAGTTCATTGTTTGTTGGCATATAGAAAGACAGTTAATTCCTGAGAAAAATCCATTGTTTAGAAACAGATTTGGTAATGGTCACACTTTAGAAGATATATCTCATTGTATATAATACATAAGATAGTTGATGTTTTTTTAACAAAATGTTAATTCTTATATTCAGTTATTACATAAAAAGATGGAGAATATATATATATATTTTTTATGATTGGAAGTTAAAAAGATTAGCAGCTGCCAACTTTACTTATAGTTAGTTCTTAAAGGCTAAAAGTTTCTTAGTTCCATAGAGCATATTTTGGAATGTGAGGCATATTAATGATCATTTTGCTAAGTTGATTTGATCAACCTTTCAGCTTTTCATTAGACACAGTTGATGAATGATGAATGAACTGTAATAAAATATTAGATATTGGTATAATGAATTGTATATGAAAACAAACAAATTCCAAAATTCCAAATATCCATTTGGTTTTGTGATAAAATAATAAAATTGCGCAGACATTTGAACGCAAAGAAATGGAAGTATGCTGTTGACTTATGCTGAAAAATATGGCTCAGGTTGAATGATCTAACTCACCTTTTATATTCATTGATTTTAATGATGGAAATTTTAATTAATATCACAATAAAACCCTCTATGTGAGATTTATTGGGCCAAATGGAACTTAATTGCAGTTCTATAAATTCAAGTAGTTTATACTCCTCTTAGCAGTAAAGAAAACCAAGTATGACTATTGATGTGTAATGAAACCAGGTGCCACAACAGCCATTTTTTCTCATCAGCGATCCAGATATCAGTTTGAGACAAGGGGAAGCATAATGTATCAAGTTGAGACAAGAGCAAAAGTAATTATTTTTTATATTTCAACATTTAAAGTTGATAGTGTTTTGTATAGAAGTTCATCCTCATTTAACCTTTCACATAGAACTTTAAGTGGAGAACATAGAGGTCTTATGAGTTGGCCTGAACATTTCTACAAGGCGAGGCAACATACGCAAAGTCATGGAGCAACTTATCAACAAGCAAACAGATTGTCTGAAAGAGCAATGCAATTAAGCATCTTAGGTAGCAAGGTATTTCAAGTGGAAGAATTGATTGCTTCTAAGTCGAAATACACCATTGTCTTTTAAATTAAACTGTATATAGGTAGATAGAAGTATGTTACCACTCTTTCTTGTAGGCTTTTGTTTTTGGATCTAATTGCATTTTTATGTTATAATGACAAGGTTGATGTGCAACAGGATAGCCAAAGTTTATTAAGGATGAATCTATCTCAGCCAGCACACAGCCTATCATATCCTAGAATGTAGCTCAATTGTTGAGTGGAGTTTAGGTATTTATTTTTTCAAAGTTTTGGTTTCTTACTAAAGAATATTTTTTCATTGTTATTTTTTTTTATTATTTGTTTAAATTGTTTCTTTTATGGTTTGCGTGTTGTTTGATTCTCATTTAAAGTGATATAAAGATAGTATTATTTGAGATTGGGTTGCATGCATGGTGATTGAAATGGGATTTTTCTTTATGAATTGGTTTCTATTTTTTATTTGATTGGTTTTTTTTTTTTTTATATAGGGATTATTCGGTGCTATTTTGTGATTGAGTTCAAGGTAAATAAATGGTTTTTTTTTTATTGTCTTTGTTAGTTTTTTAGTTGAGATAGTGATCCAAGAAGGGAGTGATTTAGATTTCTCTAAATTTTTTTTCAAACAATGATTTAAATACAATTGAATGTGGAATTAAAACCAATATCAAAATATAATGCAAATAACAATAAATTGATAATCTTAAGCAAATATAAACAATAACAATGAATGCAAAGTAAAGAGATAGGGATAGAAAAATTAAATATAAAGATTTACAGAGGTTCGGTCCTTCCTCAAAGCTCATACGTCTTCTTTATTGATTATCCACACCAAGGCTTTAATCCACTAAATTTGAATTGAGAATACAATCTTATCTTTTTCTTCCTAAGGTTTAAGATAGAAACCTCTACCTTTATACAATCAAGAGAGGATATCTCACATCTTAGTTACAAGATAACCCAAATAATTTTTGTAAACTAAAATACCTTTCAAGGTTGAGTGTTTATCTAATGAAGTACAAAGAAAATGATGAATAAAACACAACAATATTTTGGATAAAAGAAATACAAAGTATTGAATTTAAGCTCTAAAACTCTTGATTTCTTTGAAAAAATGAAAATATGACTTATTTGATCTTGGTCTCTTGATTTATCAACCTTCTTGGTATGTTGGAATGCTTAATTTATAAAGAAATTGAGGAACTAGCCATTGGAAAAACTTAAAAAAATGAAAACCCATGATTTTCTCTTTTGAAAGTAGCTGTTAGAGCATTTTTAGGCATATTAGATCGATTGGTTTTGATAAGGGATCAGATGCATTATGGGATTGATTGATTCTTGAATTTCATTCAATATTTGATCGTTACAGCTAAGGGGATCGATTGGTTTTGGTACCTAATCGATTGGGTCAACTGAATTTTAGATGCTGAATGATTCTAAATAAATAGTACCACTGTTATCTTCTGTTTTGTACTATACTCACTAATTTGATCATATCTCGAGTTATATAACTTCAAATCAAAAATTGTTTAAAGATTTAGAAACTAAACTTAAAGGGCTTTCTATCCATGTAAAATTCAAATATTAAAACTTTATGAATTGATACAGAAAATAAAACAAGTTCAATGTTGAAAATTTTGTTCTTGTAAAATAACTTTCTTAAGTTAATATATTTCTCAAAACTAATATTATCAAAATTGTATTAAGTCCAAAATAAATAAGTTCACTTTAAAAACAACAATTAGACTTTTATTTAAGCTTAAATAAATAATGTTTAAAGATAGATTTGGTTTAAGAAATATGAAAACAAAGAAATGTTTGTTTAGACTTTGAAAAACACATTATTTATTTAGTACTAAAAATAATAAAGCTTAAGAACATATACTAAATAAATATTTTTTAAAATTTTAATCAAGCTTATTTAGCTTAATGTTTTATCATTTCAAAATAAGGATCAATTTAAGCCTAACAATCTCTTTTTTTTTTTATATGATAAAACTTAAAGATAAATTTGCTTGATGAAAAACTTTCTCTAATATATTTAAAATTTTTTAAAACTATTTTAAAAAACTTCCCCACACACACACACACACACACACACACACACATGCATGGCAAAACTCCACACACACACACACACACACACACACACACACACACATGCATGGCAAAACTCCACACACACACACACACACACACACACACACACACATATATATATATATATATCAAGCACAAGCAAAATGACTCAACTAACATATGTTAGAGCATATATAACAATTAAGCATACATAAACATACGCAGATCAAGCACAAGCAAATTTGTCCATAAAATATTTCTTCTCATTTTTATCATAGCAAAAAGGTATGAGCAAATAAACATAAAAAGGTATGAGCAAATATATTCATAAAATATTTCTCTCCCTTTTTATTTAAACTCTTTATACCAAATGTTTAAGCTCTATATCAATTGCTATAAATATACAAGAAGAAATAACTCTAAACTCAACTTTTTTTTGTTATAGCAAAATAAAGAGAGATGAATTTAAGGCATATGACAAAATGCATGATACTAATAATATCAAGAGTATTTTTGAATGCATGTAATCAAGTGGTATTCACAATCAAGTTCAAATACATTTATTCAAATATAAGAGCATAAAAGTATTATAATGTATCCAATTTTAGCATTTTAGGACAAGTCCTTAAATTTACTGTATGAAATTTATAAACAAAGGATAATGAATGATATACAACCTACTCATAAATCATGTTATTGTAGATGTGCTTAGAATATAAAACATCAATAGCAATTAAGCATAAATTCAAGCACATATATTTAATCTTATATCAAATGTTAAGGATACCAATTGTTAAAGATATGTCATTAAGAAGCATACCAATTGCTATCACAAAATAACT